ACTGCACTTGGACTTTCTACAGGGCTTCGCATCCGATTATAGCCCCCATAAATTACAGAAACAAATTATTTGCCTTTAGCCCGACTTGAACCATTGAACTTGTCTGTGGGGGTTTGAGAGCTTAACCAATAAGCTATAGGATCTAAACTCTTTATATCACATATTTGATCATTACTCATATGTATTATTATTGTATTATCAATACGCAATAAATTTTTCATCTTTAACCTCCAGTTACATCAGAAATATTTCATAAAAATAATGCTATCTCTAAAGTAAAAATAAGCAAAGCCATTAATAAATATACTACATCTTCCAAAAAAGCTCAACGAGAATCTCAACTTTATGTAAATGTAGATTAAAATCTATTAAACAACATAACTATACCAGTACTAAAACAAGATTTGGACAAGACTAGTATCATTTTTGCAAATATAAGTGATGTAACTATACTAGTACTAAAACAAAGTAGACAAGATTTAAACAAGACTAGCATTTTTACAAGTAAGTTTATTTGTAATTTTTTTTTTTATTGTGATAGTAAATTTTAATTTTTTTATAATTTATAAAAATATATTCAAATTATATCAAGTCAATTAAAAAGTCAAACAAGAATATAGAAAATCGAGGTTAGCTATATTTAATTATAAATATTTATATATTTTATTAAACTAATAAATGTTCGTAATACTGTATATAATATTTAGTGCCAAAATTACTAAACAATAAAGATAAATATATATTTACAATAAATCTCCATACATTATAGCTATATATAAGATAAGTAGTAACAATCACTAGCAATCTTACAAAGTAATTAAACTTAGCTATTACCCATTTATTTCTAAATTTACTCTAAAAAAAATAGCATTGTATATCAGATTTCGGATAAATATAAAATTGAAACTAATTTATCAAGATTATTTGTAAAATACAAAACTGAATATCAGCCAACTAGTAATATTAGTTATATGATTAGTTAGATAAATCCTTATGGTGATATAATATCAAGTAGTAGTATGATCTCAGCAAGTAATGCTAAAATTAAATTTTTAATGGTAAATATAAATTAAAAATAATTGAAATTATTATTATTATATTTATACATTTAATTTAAAAAAATAAATAAATAAAATCATTATAGGATATTTGTAACAAAGCCAATATACATATTTCTGAAGTATTTTTATTTAGTTTTAATATCAAATATCTACATAAAGCAAGAATAAAGGTATCTGTTAATCGTAAACATTCTTATATAGAATTAGAGTCAGAATCTCAATAGAATAAACAAATTGCACTAGTAGCTAAAAACTTAAATATTCAAATAGTAGATCTTTTTCATAATCATCGATTTATTGATTCTTTAGACACAATGATTGTAGATCTTAAATCAATAAAACTTAACATTGCAAATAAAGCTATAACTCTTAATTATTTAACTAAAAATAAAAACAAACAAAAACATTATACTTCTCTTGTTCGAGTATATGATGAGGCATTAATTTCTCATGATAGATACTAGAAATTAGTAGCTATAGATCCAAATATGGTTTGTGAATATTTAATTAAACAATGACGTAAAGAAATCGATAATCAAATAGAACAATACTTGCCAATTTTATTATTTAATATTGATCAACCTTTAGAAATAAAAAAAAGTAACAATAATTCAAGTTTTAACAAAATTATAACTATTAATAATAAAACTAAAAATAAGAGTGTGGCGACTTAGTGAAGTGGTAAAGTTGTCGCATCCCCAAGCGGTTGAGTACAAGTTTAATTCCCACTGGAGACAAAAATTGAATTTCGAAAAACAGATTTGGTAACTAACGCCATGGCCGGAAAAACTCGAGACCCTATAACTGTGGTCGTACCAATTCATCGGAACTGGAAGATCTTGGGGCCTTTGTGTAATAGAGGGTT